ATATTTCTGGATGAATTTTTTTGACTTTTTAAAAAATTGGGGTATAGTTGACTTACAATGTTGTGTCAGTTTCTGTTGTTTGATGAAGTGAATCAGCTACATGTATACATATATCCCCTCCCTCTTGGACCTCCTTCCCACTCCTCCCCCATCCCATCTATCTAGGTCACTGCAGAGCACTGAGCTGAGCTCCCTGCACTATACAGAAGGTTCCCACTAGCTACCTGTTTTACACATGGCAGTGCACATATGTCAGTCCCAATCTCCCAATTCATCCCACCCCTGCTTTCCCTCCTTGGTGTCCATACATTTGCTCTCTACACCTGTGTCTCTATTTCTGCCTTGCAAACAGGTTCATCTGTACCATTTTTCTAGATTCCACATATATGTGTTAATAGATGATATTTGTTTTTCTCTTTCTGACTTACTTCACTCTGTATGACAGTCTCTAGGGCCAACTGTGTCTCTACAAATGACCCAATTTTGTTCTTTTTTATGGCTGAGTAATAGTCCACTGTGTACATATGTACCACATCTTCTTTATCCATTCATCTGTTGATGGACATTTATGTTGCTTCCATGTCCTGGCTATTGTAAATAGTGCTTCAGTGAACATTGGGGTGCATGTTGCCCTTTTGTTTTTCTTTGTTTTTTAATATCTTTATTGGAGTATAATTGCTTTACAATGTTGTGTTAGTTTCTGCTGTACAACAAAGTGAATCTGCTATATGTATACATATATCCCCATGTCCCCTCCCTCTTGCATCTCCCTCCCACCCTCCCTATCCCAACCCTCTAGGTCATCACAAAGCACTGAGCTGATCTCCCTGTGCTATGCAGCAGCTTCTCACTAGCCATCTGTTTTACATTTGGTACTGTATATATGTCAGTGCTACTCTCTCACTTCGTCCCAGCTTCCCCTACCCTGCTGTGTCCTCAAGTCTGTTCTCTACGTCTGTGTCTTTATTCCTGACCTGCCACTATGTTCATCAGTACCGCTTTTTTAGATTCCATTTATATGTGTTAGCATACAGTATTTGTTTTCCTCTTTCTGACTTGCTTCACTCTGTATGACAGACTCTAAGTCCATCCACCTCATTACAAATAACTCAGTTTCGTTCCTTTTTATGGCTGAGTAATATTCCATTGTATATATGTGCCACATCTTCTTTATCCATTCATCTGTCGATGGACACTTAGGTTGCTTCCATGTCCTGGCTACTGTAAATAGAGCTGCAATGAACATTGTGGTACATGACTCTTTTTGAATTATGGTTTTCTCAGGGTATATGCCCAGTAGTGGGATTGCTGGGTCATACGGTAGCTCTATTTTTAGTTTTTTAAGGAACCTCCATACTGTTCTCCATAGTGGCTGTATCAATTTACATTCCCACCAACAGGGCAGGAGGGTTCCCTTTTCTCCACACCCTCTCCAGCATTTATTGTTTGTAGATTTTTTTGATGTTGGCCATTCTGACTGGTGTGAGGTAATAATACCTCAATGTAGTTTTGATTTGCATTTCTCTAATAATTAGTGATGTTGAGCATCTTTTCATGTGTTGGTCGGCCATCTGTATGTCTTCTTTGGAGAAATGTCTATTTAGATCTTCCACCCATTTTTTGATTGGGTTGTTTGTTTTATTGATATTGAGCTTCACGAGCTGTTTGTATATTTTGATGTTCTTTTAACCCATATGCTTGGAAAGAGTTCTATAGCTCCCACTATGGAAATAGTAGTTTTGATTTAGATTTTAAGTCATTAACAATTTAGACGGCACCTAAAGAAAGTAAAATGGCCTGGAGGAAAACAAACCTTATGTGAATTTATACCTGATTTTACAAGATGGGCATGGGGGCATGTTTACTGTGATGGCTGGCTGGCTGAGAAGAATCTGGGCATTGAATGGCTTATTTTCAAAGCACTTTAGAGGGTACAGGGGTCCGGGTGGGTGGTCGGCTTTCTTTAAATCAAGGAATTTCTTGCAGCTGCTCTTTCCTATTGTTTCTATATGAGTAAGCATGACTCTGCCTTTGAGAGCAACTTGTAATTACCTTTTGTTGCCCTGATAATTTTTGGTGAGTGGAATTCATTTTTATTTACATCCATTGTCAGCTAACCATTAGTCATCATCTCTTCAGTGTGAGATTTCAATGTAAAAAATACCAGATATGCATTTAACCCAATTTTGATGATTGAAAATTGTCTTCAGCTGTCTTAATGCTGGGCAGTACAATGTATATATAATTTAAAAATAACCAATAGAGACTTCCCTGGTGGTCCAGTTGTTAAGACTCTGCAATTCCACTGCAGGGGGCACGGGTTCAATCCCTGGTTAGGGAACTAAGATCCCACATGCCGTGTGGTACGGCCAAAGACAAAAAACAATAACACGAGGCATGATCAACCAAGACTGTGCTGCTGCCTCAATTATATAAAAACCATCACAGCTTAGAAGGATCCTATACTCTCAGCATTTTAAAAACATGGTACCAAAGAATGTGATGAGATGACATGAAAGGAAGTGTCCCAAATTGACCCCTTGGTCTAGAACAGGGTGCTTCTCATGAGAAGATGCTCATCACTGCTAATTATTAGAGAAATACAAATCAAAACTACAATGATACTAAGTGAAGTAATTCAGAAAGAGAAAGACAAATAGCATATATCACTTATATGTGGATTCTAAAATATGACACCAATGAACCTATCTATGAAACAGAAACAGATTCAAAGACACAGAGAACAGACTTGTGGTTGCCATGGGGGAGGGGGGAGGGAAGGATTGGGAGTTTGGGATTAGCAGACACAAACTAGTATATATAGAATGGATAAACAAGGTCCTTCCTACTGCATAGCACAGGGAACTACATTCAATAACCTGTGATAAACCATGATGGTGAAGAATATGAAAAAGAATATGTAAATGTATAACTGAATCACTGCTGTACAGCAGAAATTAACACAACATTGTAAATCAGCTATACTTCAATAAAATTAAAAAAAATAGAACAGGGTGCTTCTCAAACTTTAACGTGCATCCAAATCACCTGGGAATCTTGTTTAAATGCAGATTCTGATTCAGTAGGGCTGGGGTGAGGCCTGAGATCCTGCATTTCTAACAAGCTCCCAGGTGATGCCAATGCAGCTAGTCCAGGGACCACACTGAGTAGCAAGAGTCTGGAAGGCTAAAACTTAATAATACCTCTGAAAATGAGCCCTAGGTAGCTCTGTTTGGAGGTTCAAGTAAGGTCAATGACAGCCAGCCTCAAATGCAAGTTGGTCAGAAAGAAGTTGCATGTGATCATTAGACCTGAAGCATTTCCGGCCCACACCTCTCTCCTGACCTCTGCACCTGTGTAAAAACCAATCACAGACCACTCCTACCTAAATGATTTATCTGCTCCTCAACAAACATGTCCCAAACAGAATGCATTACCTTTCCCCATTCCCAAACCCACCCCTGGGCTTCGTCTCTCACAGAATGGTGGCCTCATCTCATCTACTCAGCTGCCCAAGTCGGAAATCTGGGCTTTTTTCTCCCTCCTCTTTCTCCGGCACAAAGTCCTGTCAGGTGTCTCTTTTAAGTAGCTCTTGAATCCACTCACTTCTCTCTATCTGAACTTCTACTGCCTTAGTTCATGCCACGTACAACTACTTGGGGTGCAGCTGTAGTCTCTGAACTGGTTCCTTTCTCTATCTTCCACAGTGCAGCCTGCGTGACTTTCTTATCATCACTCCCCTGTTTGGAATACTTCAATGGCTCCCTTCTGCCCTAGGGATAAAGTCCAAACTCATCAGCGTTGCTTCATGAGGCTATTTATCCTCTAGTTGCAGCTGACCCCTCTAGCCCTACTGTTTCCTAACTCCCCTGGAACTGTGTACTGCATTTAGACTCATATGCCATGACATCATCTTCTTCCTGCTTACTACAGACACTGAAAGCTGCTCCTGGAACCTCTCCCCCGACCTCTCTACTCATCCTTCACTTCCTCTGGAGGCCTTCCCTCCTCTCCCCAGTTTCCATACGATACCCTTCCCAAGTGCTGTCATAACACCCTTACTGCCCTGATCAGTATCTCACTGGTTGGTGATTTTGTTCCTTGTTTGACATTATGTTTAACACAAAGTAAGTGCCCAGCAAATATCTGTTAAATAAATACATGATTTGTAAATAAACAATCCTTAGGGAAACTCTTCTCAGGATATTAACTCTGACAGCAGTCTCTGTTGAATGCCAGCCCTCAGTGCTTGGAAGGAGGTAGGAGCAGATTAATAAACAGCAGGTTTCACTACCTCTCATCCTTAAGAATCTTTGGAAAAAGACTACCACTGGTAGAGAGCCCTAAATACCTGCAAATCCACTTTCCCTGGGTAGCTGTTGGCCAATGGCTGAAAGGTGTGGGTATGTGAACTCTCAAGCTCGTTGGCCTCAAGAGCAGACAACTCTGATACAACTTTCACCCTGGAGCTTCCCTGTGGGAGCAGGCTGAAGCTAGGAATGTGCCTGAGATGGCAGCCCAGCTGTGCTTCCTCCCTTTTCTGTCTTGTTTCCCTCTCCCTTAGCTATCTTCCCTGGGAGCACTTCCTGAATGAATCCCTTGCACACACGTTTGCACCTCAGGGTCTGTTTCTATGGAACCTGACCTCAGACAGCAGTGCAAGATTGATGGAAAGGTCCATTCAGTACTTGACTGGGTTCCTGAGAAAGGTTAGAGCATTTCTCAGAAACCTTTGAAAAAATGGAAGTGATTCTCATTTGTGTGGGATGAAGTCAGTGTAAACGTGCTTTGAGTTAGGAAAATGGATGAGATAATCCCTCAAGGAATTAATGTCGAAATTCACGGAATCAGACAGATGGCTCCCAGGGGAGCTGGCTGGCCTCTTCAGCATTAACATTCTTAGCTCTGTAAAAGGGGACTAAAACTACCCACAAATCAAGTCATGCAGGACAACTTATTTATGAAAAGCTCTGTGCCCCTGAGCAAAGCCATTCACCTACCAGCATTCTTCCTGCAGGCCTGCTGGTTGCATTTTTGGAATTCTAGGGGTCTGGGTTCGTGATCACACAGGCATCGGTCCTGGTCTTCAGTTTTATTGTTCTCTGAGGCAACACAATGGACAGTCCTCTTCTGAAAGCCACCTCCACAGGATGCAGTGCACTGGAAGAGAGGGGCACAGGGAGAGAGTCAGAATTCTCCCCCAGGATCACCAGGGGAACTCCAGCATAACTGCTTTAACCCCACGGTTGTCAAATAGGGGCAAGCCTCAATTATCACAAGGCTTTTTGAAGGAGTCATAGAATAAAGGCACTAATAATTTGGAGATGTGAATTTAGGAAGAGTTTATATTATAGATTGTGTGAACTGAATTCAGCTTAATTTACAATTGGGTTCTCTGAAGAATGTGGACAGAGGTTGAACTGCAAGCAAAATAGAAAAAAATTTCATATCTGGACTCTGGTGCCTCAGCAATCCAGTTTCTCTGAACTGGTTTTGATTTGGGGCTGGGAGTCAGATGTGAGGAGAGGGGACAGAGCTACGAGGAAAGCTGAGGGAGGATCAAAAGGGAAGAGGGAGAGGAAAAAGCAAGGTGGAATGGAGAGGGAATTTGGAATGGACCTAGCGGTACCATGTGTGGCCTCAAGCCACCTAACAGACAAGATTCATGTGATGTCATGATGTGGCTGCCTGGAAGCAGAAGGGAGATTCTCTGGCCTGGGAAACCATCCTGGGGATGTAAGAAAATGTGTCTGAATTTATTATATATACATACGCTCTTTAAAAAAATTGTTTATTGTGGTAAAATATATAAAACATAAAATTTGCTGTTTTAACCATTTTTTCACAGTACAGTTCAGTGCCTTAAATACATTCACATTGTTCTGTAATCATTACCACCATCCGTCTCTAGGAGTTTTTCATCTCTCCAAACTGAAACTCTGTACCCCCAACCTACCCTGCCCCAGTCCCTGGCAACCACCATTCTATTTTTTGTCTACTTGACTATTTGAGGTACCTCATAAAAGTAGAATCATACAATATTTGTCCTTTTGTGACTTGCTTCTTTCAATTAGCATAATGTCTCCAGGTTTCCTCCATGTTATAGCATGTGTCAGAATTTCCTCTTTAAGGTGGGATAATATTCCATTGTATGTAGGTACCACATTTTCTTTATCCTTTCATCTGTTGATGGACATTGGGTTGCTTCCACCTTATGGCTATAGTGACCCACATATACTCTTATGGTTTACATTCTATTTCATGTTTTACTACTTTTTGCCTCATCTGTCTTATATAATCAAAATCTCCCAGAGGGCAGAAACCAGTTCCTCTTCCTTTGTTCTGCACGGTAAGTAGGTGAGTGCTAAACACAGCCTGACCATACAGTAAATACCCATTGATTGGCCGAAAAAGACAGCTGCATGGTAAATTCTGGAAAAATCTCCAGGCCCTAAATATCCCATTTGCCATTTGAAATATTATTGGTCAACAAGATTACTAGGCTTAAAAAAATACCCACACTGGATACCACTGAAACTCAGAATACTGTTACCAAACCCTGTTTCCCATAAAACTCCAATGTGGGATAAGAGGAGAAACATCAAATTCTTCTTAACATCCACTACTTTATTTTACTCTACTCTTCATAAAGCCTAGAGCAAGGCGATCAGCATGGAACTTTATGTCTGTTTTATAACGTCAGAGATTACTCTCATTAAACCTAAAGGTAATTTTATTCAGTGAATTCACATCAAATTTTCCATGGATATGGACAAGAGAAAAGTAAGAAAATAGCTACTCAACTGATCCTGAGTAAATAAAAGTGTGCAACAGAGGACAGAGGGAAGAACAAGTGAAGTTAATCAAGCCAGGATATGATAAAGGGTACTGGAGGTACTGGACCAGAATTCAGGAGACTTGGGCTTTTTCACTCACTACACATTGTCCTGGATCTCATTCAACCTCTCGTTTTCTTCCTCTGTTAAACGAGGTTGTTACAGGCAAGAATATACAATGGAGAAAAGACAGCCTCTTCAATAAGTGGTGCTGGGAAAACTGGACAGTTACATATAAAAGAATGAAATTAGAATACTCCATAACACCTTGCACAAAAACTCGAAATAGATTGAAGACTTAGATGTAAGACTGGATACTATAAAACTCTTAGAGGAAAACATGGGCAGAACACACTTTGACATAAATCCCTGCAAAATCTTTGTGTATCTACCTCCTAGAGTAATGAAGATAAAGACAAAAATAAACAAATGGTACCTAATCAAACTTAAAAGCTTTTGCACAGCAAAGGAAACCATACACAAAAGACAACACACAGAATGGGAAAAAATAATTTGCAAACAATGCAACTGACAAGGGATTAATCTCCAAAATATACAAACAGCTCATGCAGCTCAATATCAAAACAACAAACAACCCCAAGCAAAAAATGGGCAGAAGATCTAAATAGACATTTCTTCAACAAAGACATACAGATGGCCCCAAAAACACATGAAAAGATGCTCAACATCACTAATTATTAGAGAAATGCAAATCAAAACTACAGTGAGGTATCACCTCATACCAGTCAGAATGGCCATGATCAAAAAATCTATAAACAATAAATGCTGGAGAGGGTGTGGAGAAAAGGGAACTCTCCTGCACTATTGGTGGGAATGTAAATTGATATGGCCACTATGGAGAACAGTATGGAGGTTCCTTAAAAAACTAAAAATAGAACTACCATATGACCCAGCAATCCCACTACTGGGCATATACCCTGAGAAAACCATAATTCAAACAGACACATGAACCCCAGTGTTCACTGCAGCACTATTTACAATATCCAGGACATGGAAGCAACCTAAATGTCCATCAACAGACGAATGGATAAAGAAGATGTGGTACATATATATGATGGAATATTACTCAGTCATAAAAAGGAACGAAATTGGGTCATTTGTAGAGACATGGTTGGACCTAGAGACTGTCATACACAGTGAATTAAATCAGAAAGAGAAAAAAATATTAATGCATATATGTGGAATCTAGAAAAATGGTACAAACTAGTTTGCAAGGCAGAAATAGACACACAGATGTAGAGAACAAACATACGGACACCAAGGGGGGAAAGGGCAGGTGGGGACAACTGGGAGATTGGGATTGACATATATACACTAATATGTATAAAATAGATAACTAATGAGAACCTGCTGTATAGCACAGGGAACTCCACTTGCTGTGCAGTAGAAACTAACACAACACTGTAAAACAGCTATGCCCCCAATTAAAAAAAAAAGATAAAAAAAAAGATATGGTACATATATACAATGGAATATTACTAAGCCATAAAAATAATGAAATAATGCCACATGGATGGACCTAGAGATTATCATACTAAGTGAAGTAAGTCAGAAAGAGAAAGACAAATATCATGATATCACATGTGGAATCTAAAAAAGTGATACAAATGAACTTATTTACAAAACAGAAACAGACTCACAGACTTTGAAAACAAAATTATGGTTACCAAAGGGGAAAGGTTGGGGGGAGGGATAAATTAGGAGCTTGGGAGTAACATATACACGCTACTATATATAAAATAGATAGTCAACAAGGACCCACAGGGAACTGTACCCAATATTCTGTAATAACCTATATGGGAAAATAATCTGAAAAAGAATGGATATATGTGTATGTATAAATGAATCACTTTGCTGGACACTGGACACACAACATTGTAAATCAATTATACTCCAATATAAAATAAAAATTAAATTAAAAATACAAAACAACAAACAAACAAACAAACAAGATGGAAGAGCTAATTCCAAGCCAAGCACAAAAATAAGCAGAGAGGTCACTGCCTGTGCATTTATTAGCTAATTTAAATACCTTGTGATGGAGAAGATGCATGAATTTGTGTTGTATTAAATTAGAGGATTAAGCAGGAAGCATGGTTACTGATTTGGGTTTTGTTAATTGTGGTAATGCTGTGAGTTTGGGGTTTTAGAGACAAGGTAACTCTCTTAATGCTCAGTTCCACTTCTTTGTATCCAATAAAAATAAGGGATCTTTGTGCAGAACTGAGCACCCAAAATAGGGATGGGGCTTAGTTGGGGCTTAGCTCTAAGCTAAGATTGCTGAGTAACCGAATTGTTTGCACCCTACACTGAACTCTGCACTATGCTCTTTCAGTCCTGGATGCTTCTCTTCAGCTTAAACTGGCCTGTTTGGAAAGGGTGATTCCCAGGGCTCAGCAGATGATCAGCAAAGACTCTCTGTGAGAAGCTATAAGATAGACACATGAAGACTGGACTCTGTTAGTGCTATCACTCAACCAACATAGATCAAACGAAGAAACCATTTGATGATTTAAAACTGGTACAAACTAATGCACGCATCTCAATTGAATAATTTTCTTTTTTTAAAAAAAATTTATTTATTTAGTTTTGGCTGCATTGGGTCTTTGCTGCGCGCGGGCTTTCTCTAGTTGCGGTGAGCATGGGCTACTCTTTGCTGCAGTGCGCGTGGTTCCCATTGCGGTGGCTTCTCTTGTTGTGGAGCATGGGCTCTAGGCATGCTCTAGGCATGCAGGCTTCAGTAGTTGTGGCGCACGGGCCCAGTAGTTGTGGCTCGTGGGCTGTAGAGTGCAGGCTCAGTAGTTGTGTTGCACAGGCTTAGTGGCTCCGTGGCATGTGGGTTCTTCCCGGACCAGGGCTCGAACCCGTGTCCCTGCATTGGCAGGCAGATTCTTAACCACTGTGCCACCAGGGAAGTCCTTTAATAATTTTCTTGCACTTACTATTAACATATGTCAGGCACTGTAAGTACATAGGCAATATCCTTGAGTTCAATTCTTGGAACAACCATGTAAAATAAAATTTGTTTTCGGGTGTTGTAGAATCAGATATTCCTCTCCTCTGACTTTTTTCCTTTTTTCATAGCATTTAATGAAGGTCATGGAGACACATGTCCTTCAGTTTTGGAAAATTTTTCTTGTATTAATTCTTTGATAATTTCCTCACTTCTTGTTCCCTCTCCATCCTCCCTTTTTTTTATTAGTTTTTTTAAAATTTTAGTTTTTTTTTTATACAGCAGGTTCTTATTAGTCATCAATTTTATACACATCCGTGTATACATGTCAATCCCATCCATCCTCCCTT